GTTGACCACAGGTGCTAATTGTAATCAAATTATCTATATTCTGTTTGGAGCAGAAACAATGTCATAGAAGCACATAAAATTTACATTGTAATTGATTTTGTTGACGAATGAAATTGATAAAGAAAATAAATATTAATTTACGTCGACCCTTGTTCAATTTTGAAAGATTATTCAGGCAAGATTTTGAAAGGGGGGGGGGGGGGCAACCTGAGAATTTTTTTTTTACTGACCTAAAAAAAAAAAGTTGACAAGCAAAAAATAAAGAATTTTTTTTTTGAAAAAAGTGGAAAGTGGGAGGGGGATATAGCAGCCAACATTTTTCAAAGCCAACTTCCTTTCACCTCCATTTTTTCTTATAATTCCTTGCTATAAATATACCGTGGTAAAAAGTTGGGGGGGTCAACCATCTTTTCAATGGACATTTCTTATAGTAAAGGTAATGTTGGGGAAACCCCCCCCCCCCCCCCCTTGTTGCTACGTGCCTGCTATTTTACTATTTTCGGGTGTACATATCTTTCTTGAGAAAAAATTTAACTGAAAGGACCGGAGGATACTACATGTATGTTTCGGAATCTAAAGAAAATAAACAATTTTTACTTTTATTATTAATATTATTATGCAAAATGTATGTATGGATTTACATAAATGGAAAAAAGCTTTTGCTAGTCTAAGCAATTTGTAGAATAAAAGGAGAATATTGAGGAGACGGAACATGTATGTCTATACATCTGATATTTTTATCGCTTTTGTTTCCTGTGACTGTAATCTGTGATCATATGGTTAATTCCTAATCAAAATAGATTTTTAGTACTAATTATTCACGCAAAACCATTCTTTTTTAAGTATTTATAGAACGTATACAGAAATGAGATTTAAATATCTGATTTTTATTGGGAAATCCTTTTTGAAAAAAGGAAAAGTCAGTCAGTGGAAATATTACAAATTAATTTTGTATCTAAATAACCATCATGGAATGACACGAGGAAAGAATGAGAATATTATAATAAGATCATTAAACATACATTCATGGATTTTTTAATCTACATGTATCACTATTGGACAAATTTAAATACGAATTTAAAATTGCAATAGTCTAACAATTTACAATTCATATCTATAGTGATATGAGGACATATAATTCAAGATATATGGTTAAAATACAGTCTAAAAACACAATTTAAGACACAATTATGCCTCCTCTTTCCCAACTGTTATGAAAAGGGACAAAAGACAAATGTATATTGAAGCTGAATTTTTATTTATTAAAATAACATCCAATATGTCCAACAACACACGTCCACTTATTAGGAATTCGGCATAATGGGAAGTGTTCAGGATAAACGTCCGGAATTACATAACTCGGTCTGTAAACTTTCCTTGCGGCAAGATATAAACTAGGTATAGTGACTAACACACTATTAGAGTTATCAGCATCAATGATAATCAATCAAAACTCTGGATGGGTTCTTTTACTGTCAGTATATCAAACTCATCCTTAAATAAAATGTTATCTACCTTTGTAGGAGTAACATAATCACTATAGTGAGGATTTTCATTATCCTCAGCAAGACTTATTTTGCCACAAGACACAACTTTTACATATGATTTACTAAAGCAGGGAATGTCTATACACTCTGTATTTTTAGTATCATCTTTTTTACAAAAAGTTCAAATGAATTCTGGGTCATAAAATCTTATCCCAATATGCAAGGGTATTGTATATCAGCCACAAGTACTTTATAGATAACATGAAAATTTTCGAGGGATATTTTGATCGGGCATTCTCCCTTAACTGGGATTGCATCACCACTTGCAGGGGTAAGTTTAATAGGTGCTGGGGTAATTTTGGGCTTTTCCTCAGTATCTGTTTTTTTTTCAAGTGGAGGGTACTGACAGTAATCATACTAGCATCCGTATCTACTGGTACATTTGTTCCTTTATTTCCAATTTTTCCTATGACATTAAGTCAGTCATTTCCCCCGTTTTTATCTCTCACTAAAATTTCTTTGGGGGTAGATTGAACACAACAAAGAATTTCTTTTTCATATTCAGATTTATTTTCATTACAAATATTGGGTTTGGGCCTTAGTGAGAGTGGTTGAGCCATATTTAATGGCCAGTGTTGGGGTTTGTCCCTTGATATTGTCGACTTCCGACCCCCGAATTCGATTCTGTGTAGTTTTCCTGTACTTGAGGTCGGAAAGAATTTTTTTTTTGAGTTCTTTGATTAATTTTTCACATTGTTTGAATTTCTTTGGTGGGGTGGACCCTGCGATCTAGGTCTATAATTTGTGGGTCTATGCCCTTGGTAGTCGGGCCCGACTGGGTTCTCACATAAGCCCATATTGGAGCAATTTGCATAGGGTTTTGACCAAAATTATGGGTAGACACTAAATATTGGACCATTTCTTATAATGGCTCTGATTCTTTGGGTAAGGGATTGTAGATCATCAAGCTAGTTTTGATGATCTTGCTTTCATGAGATGAAATTGGGTCATCATGAATGATATTGACAGTTTTTTTTCTTATGGCATCTGTCAATCTATAAGTTTCTAATCGAATGGACAAATTTCTTCTTAATTTATGTCTTTGGGTTTAGCTACCCTTAATCTCAATCGCATATACCGAAAAGCCACTGACATCTTATTCATTGACTGAATCTCTCTCTCTCTCTCTCTCTCTCTCTCTCTCTCTCTCTCTCTCTGTGTGTGTGTGTGTCTCTCTCTCTCTCTCTCTTTCCTGGTGTTTTTTACTTCCACGTTTGCTTAACCGAGTTTTACCATGACTATGTCTTTCCTGCATAAGATTTGAATCAAAATTTTTTTCATATAAAATATATTTTTATTTAGAATGCATAAAACAAAATAGCCTAAGAATAATAATACCAATTTTTCCTGTTAAATCTAAAAATAATGATATATCCTACATAATTAATCTACATATAATCCATCAAAATTTTGATTTACTGCCAGATTTTAGTCTTAGTTTTATATGTGCAAAAATAACTCAGAAATAGTTTGCATTTGAACAAATACTGAAATATTTCAGCAATTTTGTTTTTGATTATCAAGAAGGTTGAGCTTGTTTCATGTGCAGTCTAAGATCGATTGCATTAAGACTGGTATTTTTTTTTTTTTGCCAGAACTCTAAAAAAGAAAAAGTGAAAGTCACAAGCTTTTTAAATCTCGATTGTGTGTCACAGTTGTTGTTGAAATAATGAAACATATAAAATCAAGTAAACATGAAATTTTGTTTAACGGTGTTAATGTTTCATTGTTTTTATCTCGTTTAGAATATAACGAAATATCTAGAATTGACTGCAATGTCGTAAGATATAGGGACAATTTCTCTGATACTGACATTCAAACCATTTGGCTGTTTAGAGCATAATTCAGCGAAGCGGTTTATAACAAAGCGTAAACTGCCCCAAGTTATGTTATATCGTATAATATCAGTTGAAATAAGCTTCATTCCTTATAATTTAATTTCTGTGTAGACAATGAAACACTTTTTACCCCAAGAATAAGGCTTCACATTGATTAAAATTTCAAAAGTAACGTTAATCGGAGTAATACGTTTTTTGACGTAACTCATTGTGACGTAGGCAAGTTATGTTATAAAAAATGGATAAAATATTCTATCCAATCAAATGACATGTTACAACTGGAAGTAAATTATTTGTAAATAGCCAACAGAGTCGAATAAAAGTGTGACATTAAAGTTTTAGAATTTAGAGAATAATATTAAAACAAAACTAACTTTAACAATCTAGGTAATTGATTTCATCAACTTTCGGCTCTTTCATACTGAAAAAAAGTGTAAAGACAATCACAAGAAATTGCCGACTGTAATAAAATTTGAAACAAGCATTATAATTTGTCAAGAGTTCGATTCCAAAGTTGAGTCCGGATTGATTACGAATTTAGCAAATTAACTTTCTATCTGCTGACTCTGCCATTAATATCTTTCAATGTAAATCGGAATTGTTTCCAAGGTAAGCTTGAATGTTACGATTTTTATTCGAAAGTTAAAATAAAAAAATATTTTAATTTTCATGAAAGCCGCATAACAATCATGGATACCATTTCATCATTCCTATACTTACACATGCAGTATCATTTATGAACGTGTTTCAGAACAACACTAGTTTGAATTAAAAACTTCAAAGCTCTCTATATGCTCTAGACTCTTCATTAGTGATTTTATTATTTTTAAGTATTTTTTTATACGGAATTAAGATAAGTTGCCTAGTTATTTTGAATTTCATTGAACTTTTAAATATCTTAAATGTTTTATAAGTAAAATGTTGGTTATTCATTTCCTGTATATGTTCACAAAATGTTTGATATAATATATTATATCAATAGTATCAATAGTAAAATTTGTCTTTGGAGTTTAGTATTTGTAAATTTTCTGATTTTATTGACTACATTTGATTTTCAGCTTTTGTTATAAGTGCCGTAAGAATTTAGTTAAGCGCAACGTATGAATTATTTCCTCTAACCGATCGATCTTTCTTTGCTGTTTTTTAATCGTACTTTTCATAGATGGTTTCTATACACATTGTTTTAAAAGTTATGTTCCTATCTGACATATGTTTCTTTAAATAATTCACATGACCTTTTTATGGTGATTTTTTGTGTTACATTTATAAATTCATTGTCCATCTGCTGACTCTACAATAAACATCATTCACCTTAAATCGGAAGTGTTTCTATTTAGCATTTTAATTGAAAAAGCCAGTAGATATCTTACCAAGTTAGTTTCCCAAAGTCCACAGACGAAAAGTCCATGTGAAAAAGTTAAAAACTCAGAAATAATTTTGATTGGTGCCTAAAGTGTATAACATGCATTTATACACTGACTTAGGAAAAGGAAATTATATCTCTGAGGCTTATAAAAATGTCCTCATTCAATAAATTGGACATTTTTCATCAGAAAATTAATTTAGATGGAAAGGATGCTTAATTGCATGTTGGATTAGTATTCCATAGCTGCACAGAATATTATCATTTTAGGTTTAATACAGACAACATCTATACTTTTGACGCAAGCCATGTCGAGTCTTATTAATGTGCATCGTAAGTAGTGACATTTCAAATATAATTTCAAAATAGTATCTTAAAATCACTTTATTTGGCAGGGGATTGTACAATAAAATTCAAATTTAGAAATGAACATTTCGGAAATGTCTGAAATGTTAATAAAATAATCGCATTATTTGTTATTAAAAGCAGAGGTAAATAAATATAATGTATAATTTATGCTGTTTTTGCAGATGGCTGTTAAAATCTATTAGAAAATTTATTACTTTATACTTTTCTTCTACATTATTTTTATTAAAGGTGATTTTATAAAATCATATGAATTCATCACATATAAATGATCTCACACACTTAGATAAAAGCCTACTGATTAGATTTAAAGAATAGCCTAAATATATTATATAAATATTGCATGTAGTTGAGTGTAACATTGAAAATTTTCACCCCAAGAAAACCATTGTCAACCGAGGCGCAGCCGAGGTTGACAATGGTTTTCGAGGGGTGAAAATTTTCAATATTACACTCAACTACATGCAATATTTATTATATTATACTGAATGTTTTATACAAATACATATTACAGTGAACCGTGCGCGCATAAATTCTGAATTGAAAATTTTCACCCCAAGAAAACCATTGTAAACCGAGGCGCAGCCGAGTTTGACTATAGTTTTCGAGGGGTGAAAATTTTCAATATTACAGTTAACTACATGCAATATTTATTATATTATACTGAATGTTTTATACAAATACATATTACAGTGAACCTAGCGCGCATAAATTCTGCGCAGTCGCTATTTTTTGTAAAACCACCCGTCGTCAAGCAATGTTGACTGTTGCTACGCAGAAGGGCGTGGCTTCATTATTATATTCAGCGGGTAATAGTGTTTTTCATCAAATGTTTCTCGACGAATCAGATTCAAGTAATTTACATGAAAGTATAATATTTAATTTTATTCCCTTTGCACATTTTATTTATTGACAATTTAACGATGTTAATTCTGAAATGTTATTTGAATACATTGCGATTGACTAGAGATTCGGAAAAATACTGTTTGATTCTGATATCCTTCTTGACCGATGTTTGAAATGTATCTTAAAGTGTTGGGAATGTTTTTAGTTTTTATGAATTTTCAATGCTATTATTATCTATATTTAATGCTATTATTATCTATATTTAAATTAATATATTTGTCATCTATAAAAAGTTCGTGGGCATTTATCAGTACTTCTATTTTAAAGAAACACAATTCTACATAAAGTCACATAATTATTTCGTATGTGTTAGAATATTACTGCTTATTGTAAACAACAAAATAGACAAACTAAAACTCCTTTATATTTTAACTTCTACAGTGTTGAATTCATGTATTTTTAATTACATATGGCGGAATAATAATTTACTATCATGTTTCTTTTTTAAAAGATGTTCTTATGGCGACTTTTCATTTATTGTTCCTTATTTGTGCAGCTGACTTTCAGAGGGATTCAAGGTAAACTATAGAATACGGGTATTCCGAACCTCTGTTTTTGGTCTTTTTTTAAAATTTCAAAACAATTGCTACTACGGAATTCCTATTGTTGATACCAATGTAGCAGAGTATTGATTTTACGTAACATGCATACTTAAATCTAATAAATTGCAGCTGTTTCACCTTCATACATACAAATAATACAAGTCCACAAGATGTGGAGGATTCCTGTTTTGAAATGTCCAAAAGCAGTGTTAATATACTTTACGGAGGTAAGAAATTTGAATATCGTTTTGACAACTAGATGCTATAAAAATGTCAAAAATGACATACCATCAATATTTCTGTATCAACTTGATTTTTTTATTTAGGTATATATCTATAAATAAAGAATCTTACCATCGACTCTTCTTGTTCTTTTATGGGCATCAAACTTGAGATAATGCAAAAATATCTAATAAATGCAACCGGTCATCGAAGACTGTGTAGAACAAAGATGGTTTTCTCCATCAATACCACCATGTGTGAAGAAACAATTAGAGATCTTAAATTCTACTGTGATGAAAACAGTCAATCAAGAAAAAGCATATTTTTTCAAAGTAAGATATAAGTAGTTCTACAGAAACTTTCTATGTCATAGAATATCTTATATTAGTAGACTTTAAAAAGACAAACAGATCAGTTAACACACCATAATAACAATTTCAGATTGTTCTGCTTTACAGTGTCCAGAAGAAAATTATGACAGTAAAAGGAATATGAATGGTTATTTAGTTTTCTCTTTCAAAAAAAAAGTTAAAAACTTATTGATGTTTCTCCATTTTTCATTTAAATTTCAATGTGTTATAATGGTATTATATATTCATATGTACAGAGGTGCTAGTGCTATCTAAATTTCCTGAGTCGAAAGTTTCTACATTTGGACTTCCTGCATATGATATACCAACATCACAGTGTAATATGCGGCAGCGCAAAATTGAGAACTGTATTGCAAATGGATCTAAAAAGTACCTGGAGACTACGTGTAATACAGGTAAAAACAGCTGATCATTTTCTTTATTTATCTTTTAAAATTGACTATTTAGCTTCTTTCAGCTGTATTTTACTTCCATCTTGTAATAAAGGACAGTATAGTAAAAATTCCTTCACTATAGAAAGCCCGCAAATTTTAAACCGAGATATATGATCGGGCGGTATAGCGCGCGCGCGAAATTTTGCATTGAAAGGAGACATGTTTCGCAAGATCATTGATCAACTTTACATGGATTGGAATGGTACCTGAATAAATTATGCCTTTTACTGCTATGCAATCTCACCACAGCTTCATTTTGCTGAATTTGTACAAAAAACAAAACATCACAAGAAAAAATTAGCAAAGTGATGGCTTATCTATCCATAAAGATGAAGAAAAATTCTGGCCTTTGTGGTTTGAAGATGTTTGATCAAATCCAACACCATCTTCCCAAGTCAAGAGTTTCTGATCCGCTCCGCTCCACATAAACCCTTGACCGAATAGGCTAAGTTTGACGGGGTTAGAAATGCGTTCTCTGAATGGCCTCATGCAAGTTTGCATGAACCAATCATAATCATTGTTTTATTTAAACTGAAACTACATCGTAAACAAAAAACACGTCAGTTTTAGTCCCAAGGATATCGTATTTTTCATTAGATAGCCCTTTTAAAGGTTTGTCTCAGTTTTTTAGTTGAGTTATGTTGAATTTATTACCGACCACTAATATTATCTCGAATTCTCTGTTGAATTCGTATACTCTGATTGGCTAATAGCAGAGGTCAGGAGAGTTCAAAATATGTAATCTCACTAGACAGTTAACCCCGTCAAGCTAAGCCTATTCAGTCAAGGGTTTATGTGGAAAGGAGCGGATCAGAAACTCGTGATTTGGGAAGAAGATCCAATACTTATATTTTTATTAATATTTTTTTCTTACTTTTACAGAAATTTTATTAAAGCTTCACTCATATCCGGATTTTAATAAAAAAAAAATTGATTGTCTCTGTTCAACAACTTCAAAGACATCGCTACATGTAAAATGGTCTTACTTTTATATGCATGTTTCTAATTTTAGGGAATATTTCAACAAAGAGAGGTAAATTTGAGAAAAATGATTTTTTGGTTTTAAAGATAGGCAATTTAATTTGACAGTTATGTGTGTATCAATTTTGTTCATTTTCTAAAACATAATTTTAAAAAAATCATATTTACGAGAGAAAAAACCATCCACATATAGGCCTCCTATGTTTAATTTTATTTTTATTTTTCATAATTGTAGGAATTGCAGGAACATCTTTTGTTGATGTATCCAGTTTGCACCATGGTACCCAGGATGTAAAGCTTTAAGTTACTAAAAACATGAATGCATACAGAAAATCTCATATAGAAATTTTACATTGAAAATTGTAATATATCTGAAACAACACCGGAATAAATTTTATATAGGTTATCTAATAAGCAAAAATATATATTACAGCCTGACTACAATGGATATCAGTATGTAAGTGTCTTTGTACATAATCATTTTATATTTTATAGTCTACCTAGGAAACGGGAAATGTAGGTGACTCAATTTCAGATTAATGTCAAGAAGTATCTGAATTCTGTGAGAGTCAGAGAGCTAACTAAGCTTACTATTACTGACTGCATTTTTTTGAGTCATTACAGTTAAATAGAAAATGTATTATATTTAAAATAACTCCACAGTTAGCACAAAATATTTGTACATTTGGATTCCCCTGGTTCACACTTGAGTTATTGTTTAGTAATTTATGAAATAATTTATAATTTAATTCTGATATATGCTCTTCAGACATTTTCGTGATTTTCACATGGTAAATGGAAACCCATAGATATTTGGGAGTATAAAACAATTCACTCAATTAATTTTCCATTATTGGGCTTATTTTTTTTTTAGATGAATATTTTTAATATTATCTAAAAAACAAACAAACAAACAAACAAAAAACAAATGATTTTATCTTATGTATTTGTGTATATCTGTTTCCTTTTAATACATGTAGTACCGCGTCTGAATTAATATAACGGTATGTAAATTTGGGTATATACCCCCCGCTTGAATATCGTTAATTCCGTCCGTCCGTCTCTCCGTCCGGCCGTCCGTCTGTTACGCTTTTTCTCTTATCCACAACTCCTCTTATACTACTGAGTGAAATTTAATGAAACTTTCACAGAATCTTTATTACAGATTGCCATTGTGCACCTCTTATTTTACTTTTTGATCCGACACATACTTTGGGTTTCTCGGCCACTGCAAAACATGGACTTTGCCATTATAACTATATGGAGGCGGGGTGGGGGTATCATTGAGTGAGCTCATCGCTCACAGTACCTCTATTTATAAGTAATTTTTACACAAGACATTATTCTTGTATAAAATTTATTATAGAAGTACCTAATATCACGGAATATTCCATCTGCGTCATACAGGTCTCATATGTACAGAATTCCTAATTAATCCAATTTTCAAAATAAATTGATTATTTTATGTGTAAAAATTTTGTTTTTCCATATTGGTAAAGATATATAAATTCATCGGTGGATAACTTTGGAAAATCTTTTATTATTTTTCATGCATGGAATGCACAAATTGATTCTTTATAAGAGATAGGAATGCTTTTAGATTAGCTTTTAAAATGTATTCTGATGACAATGTTTTTCTATTCAAGTGGTAGTTTAAGAATGATACAAGACTAGAATTTGTATTTAGTAATCTGGGAATCCAAGATGCCTTGGATGCCTTGAGTTTATCTTCATGTCTATGATGTTAATACCTCCTTGTTTTTCATCCCCAATAACTGTATTTCTTTTTATACGGTCTTTACTGTTCCATACAAAGTTAAACGTTAATTAATTTATTTGTTTAATTATTTCTCCGGCTGGACTGGGAAGAATGGTTGCATTATATTGCAATTTTGAAGTACACAATTTGTTAATTTTTTTTTGTCTCAAAATTGTTAATTTTCTCTTTTCCTATGACTCTAAGAGTTGTGCCATTTTATCTATGTTATTTTGTAAAATTGTTTAATTATAAACATAATTTTTGTTGTGTTGTACCAGTATCCCTAATGTTTTACCGGATCGTTGGTCACTTTTATTCCTTCTATACTACTGCACAAATTTCTCAGGGGTCATAGTAATAAACATTCTGATTTATGAATATTAAGATTTGGTCCTGCTACTATAGAAAACACAAATGTCTGCTAACCCTACCACATTGTAATAGTTTTGTTCTTTATATATTTGTGGATTTCAGTGGTAAAATTTGTTGAATCCTTTGATTTAGATATCAGTAAATGACTTGAGATGAAAAAGTTTGCTTTTAATTGTTTATTTTTTTTTTTACATTTTACCGGGGCTCAAAAGTGCACTCGCTCTTTAGGGTTTTTATATAATATTTTCTTCCATTTCATAAAATTTGGTCGATACTTAAGGGCTTTATTTTTTCAAAGATAAAGGACCATTCAGTAGTATCGAAAGCATTTTCAAAGTCTAAGAAAAAAATTCCGTTTTTAATCAAAAATATTCTGAATTAATCTGGCGTTACATCCAATATACCGGTATCAGCCTTTTATATAAGCTGATTGGTTATTGTTGCTGAATTTTAAAATAACTGTTTGTAGTTTTCTAGCTAGTATAATTGCTACAATCTTATAGTCAAGAAAGTCACACTAATAGGTCTATAATTTTTTAGAATAGATTTATCATCTTTTTATGGATGAGACTTCTAATTGACAACTTTTGTGTCGTAGTGAACTCTTCAGCCTCAAATGATTTTAATAAGCATCGTAATAGTATATTTCATATCATTCCAAAATAATTTATAAAACTCTACTGGTATCCCGTCTAACCCTGGTGATTTATTATTATTTTTCATATTTCTGATAGCTTCTTCACATTCTTTCAAAGCTGGAGTATCATCACAATAACTTTGTTCATTGTCTGTCAATTTTGATGACATTTGTCTCCGAAATATATAGTTTGTGATTTCTCCTTTTTGAGGGTTTTTAGATGTATAAAGATTTTCATGAAAATTACAGTGATCCTAAAATATTGTTTTTATGTGACGTTTTCCCTCTTCAATTATTTTTTCAATTACGTTATTTTGTTGCCGCTTATATGTTCTAAATGCAAGAAATACGGTGTACATTTCTCACCATTTTTTTATCTATCTAGCTCTACATTTTTGTTCAGATCTATGCACCTTAAATTGTGATTTTCTCTCATGAATTTTGTTTAATTCTTTTTCAACATTTTGCTTTTCTTGGGTATTTGCTTCCTGAACAGATTTGACTTTCTCTTTGTCGACTTTTATTTCTTCTTTGGACAATATGTGTCACATCTATTTCAGCTTTGTCTTGTAAAATTCACATTTCTCTTTGTTCAGGATCAGATTACCTTCTCGAAGTTAATGGAAAACTTCCCAAGCGCTTTATCATGTTCTTCTTTTGTTTTGCCGAAGACAATTATATCGTCTGATATAATCTAACAGCCTGTGATCCCTTGTAATACTTGCTATTTTATTCTTTGGTAAATTTCCGGCGCATATTTTCAAGGATGAGTCATTTCTAAATGTCTTATGTAAGCAGCCCGGGGAATTTCTTTGTTGACCTATGGGTCACAGAATTTCTAACATGGACTGTGATATTTTAATTTTTACTTCAGTAAAAATATTTAAATGTGAGCAGATATGGTCAGTGTTAAAGTTAAATGGCCACATTGCATTTTTACTTCACTAAAGGAGTAAATTATTTTAACTTGAGTAAAAATGATTTTGCTGGAGTAATGTTTTTTACTGGAGTAAAAATATTTAATTGTGATTAGCAGTGGCCAGTGTCTTATTTTTACTGTAGTCAAAATAATTTCACTGGAGTAAATAAATAAATAATAAATAATTGTGAGTAGAACGGCCAACCATAAACGGAAGTTTCAGAAATATCTCGCACGCGAAAATAAAGTTAGTTTAGAAATATAACGTACAAGTTATCTTATTTCGCAATTTTTTAGTTTGCGTATGACATCATAGTCTATCGGTTGAGACCAAATAAACCAATTTCCCAAGTCGCAGTAGGTGCTGGCACTAAAAAAATCACTTCTTGCTGAATTACCGTAGCGCCGAGCAAAGGACAAAATTTTCTCCCTGCTGGCAAGTACTTGCGTCTCCATATGAGTGAAATTTATCGAGAGGGACTTATACAATAATCAATCAATCAATCAATAAACCTTTGGGCTTGAATAATGTTTCTTATCTTTATATGTTTCACCCCATTCATAGTATACAGTTATTTACTTGCTATTAGGTCAACATATGATTTGTTGGACGTAAAGAGAAAAATGCTACTTGAGGCTACAGGCCAGGTCCTTTTCAGGTCAATACATTATATGTTCTCTTATACTCTGTCAACAACTGTTTATTATATCCTTATATTAATATTACTGATTGATACAAAATTGTTTTTTTTTCAGCCCCAACCCCCAACCTGCCTTATATTGGATGTTGCTTTTCAGTATATGTTATCTATACCAGAAATTTCCATCATGGGCGGAAAAAAAATTCCCGTTAACAGGTAATCCCTAACAAAAAAATACTATAGAAAACTATAGTTAACTATAGTTAACTATAGTTTACTATAGTACCAAAGTAAAAACTTTGGAACTTTGATTTACTTTGGCGAAAACTTTGGAACTTTGATTTACTATGGCGAAAACTTTGGAACTTTGATTTACTATAGTAATAACTTTGGAACTTTGATTTACTATGGCGAAAACTTTGGAACTTTGTCGAAAACTTTGGAACTTTGTCGAAAACTTTGGAACTTTAATTTACTATGGCGAAAACTTTGGAATTTTGATTTACTATGGCGAAAACTTTGGAACTTTGATTTACTATAGTGAAAACTTTGGAACTTTGATGTACTGTAGTGAAAACTTTGGAACTTTGATTTACTATGGCGAAAACTTTGGAACTTTGAATTACTATGGTGAAAACTTTGGAACTTTGATTTACTATAGTAAAAACTTTGGAACTTTGATTTACTATGGTGAAAACTTTGGAACTTTGATTTACTATGGCGAAAACTTTGGAACTTTGATTTACTATGGCGAAAACTTTGGAACTTTGAATTACTATGGTGAAAACTTTGGAACTTTGATTTACTGTAGTAAAAACTTTGGAACTTTGATTTACTATGGTGAAAACTTTGGAACTTTGATTAACTTTGGCGAAAACTTTGGAACTTTGATTTACTATAGTGAAAACTTTAGAACTTTGATTAACTTTGGCGAAAACTTTGGAACTTTGATTTACTATAGTGAAAACTTTAGAACTTTGATTAACTTTGGCGAAAACTTTGAAACTTTGATTTACTATGGCGAAAACTTTGGAACTTTGATTTACTATGACAAAAACTTTGGAACTTTGATTAACTTTGACGAAAACTTTGGAACTTTGATTTACTATAGTAAACTATAGTTAACTATAGTAAAATAGTTAACTATAGTTTACTATAGTATTTTTTTGTTAGGGATGATCCCGTTAACAGGCAGAATAAAAAAATATATTTTGAAACAGTTTACATTCTGATTGCCAATCTATATTCACAATAAAGTATGAAATCTTAAAGTATAATTAAATATAGGGGAACAATGTTCTTGAAAAATATACAAAAATTATCTCGATGTCCTTCGTTCTAAACATCTACATGAAAGTCCTATATATTCAAAACAAAGAAATTGAATTTAAGACCTTATCCACTAAAAAGTTGAAATTTTTCGGTGAGATTTTTTAGACTTTTTAGCTCATATAGGAATGTGATTTATTGATTGATTTATAGTATAGTATTTAACGTCCCTCTCGATAATTTTTCACCCGATTGGAGACGCCACCACTTGCCAGTTGAGAGTTGCAAACTTTGTCCTATACTCTGCACTCAGGGCCATTAAGCAGGGAGGGATCTTTTTTGTGCAATTTAGGGCATTCGTCGGAATTGTTCATTGAGGAAAATACTTAAAAAGCTCAAATATAAGAACGGAACAAAGTCTGCACTTTGCTTGTTAATGTTTCTATATGTTTTTGTAAAACTTGGATGATGCTCAAAATCTACTATACGTATGATAAAAAATTCAGACATCGACAAAATCCTACGTAGCACAGCAGGTCAAACTTTGGACTTCAGTTAAGGATTTTAACGCCCCAATAAGTCTGTTTTGATGGGATGCTAACACAGCTCAGGACTGTTTATAGGAACAGTTTTATGTTTTTGAATGGGTGCAGTAATTTTCTGAATTTAAGACTGACTGATTGTCGAAAAGGAATCTACCGGGGCATCTCCGAGCATTGGTGTTTTGTGTTTTCAGCTTTCAAAGGTACGAAATGGGGATAATGAAAAATATATTTTCCCATTATAATTGGTTTAGGTTTAAGTTCTAAATTATCTTAAAAGAATTTCAATCCTCCACTTAATATAAGTAGGCCTTTTCCTATAAGCACTTAATAGCATATTATTTACTTCCTCAAATAGTTATTGTTCTGCGTAAATAAAGAAAACAAATGGACATAGAAAACATTTACTACCATTTATTACAATTTTAATTGACAAATAGAAAAAGGTATACTCTTAACATTAAGAAACTTCTTTTTATTTGTTAACGTATATATAGTAATTGACAATTTTTTTATCTTCTGAGTTTGGTCTCATCAACTACAATTTCAATTTGTCTTACGCACTTTCTATTACATGCAGTTTTGTCACAAAGGTAGAACGCACATACATGTAACAATATAAACGATTCATTGATCGCAATGCACTTGTCAGGCTAACGTCAATTTAATATCGTGACGTTGACACGAGTTGTACGCAGTCAGAGGTTACTGTAATCCAGCTACATTTACTAAAATGAAAAAAAAATATTTTGGAAATCAAGTAAAATACTTTGTAAAGGGTAATTTTTGCCCCGTGTTATTTGCGCCCTTTTACACTAGTAAACAATTTTGTCCAGTTTTAAATTCGCCCAGTCATAATTTGTTTAAGAAATTGTACTGTATTCTTTGATTTCGTACCGTTTTAAATTCGCCGAAATTAGGGTAGGGCGAAGAGGGCGAAAATCAATCGGGGGCGAAAATTTCCTAATATACAATATTATTTGCAGCTATTTAAGGAAGCAAATACCTTGGATGTAGTGTTTCTTCATACAATTTCCCTACAGTCTCTTGACATTAAATACTGTCGTTTATATGTATGTAAATTCAAATGGTATTTGAAAAGTGCCTAGCACTTGATAAAAAGACTTGCAAGTTAATTAATAATATCCAAACTAAATGTGGTTAACTAGCAAACTATTCAACATGAGATGTAACAAATGTTATTTTAGCAATTCAAATTAGAATACTATGGTGGCATATTTCTGCCCCTTACATGCAAGATAAATTATGTTAACATGCAAGAAAATGATGTCAACATGCACGATATTTGTGTTGACATGCAAGATAATCATGTTGCAACAAGTTACAAATCTTTAAAGAAAATATCAATAAATTATGGGCAACTTTGATTACTAACGCCTGTATCTGATATACTAGATGCAAGATACAACATAATTATATTGACATGCGACTTATTTATGTCAACATGCAAGATAATTATGTCAACATGTAACTAATTTATGTCAACATGCAAGATACTTATGTTAACATGTGAGATAATTATGTAGACATGCAAGATATTTATGTTCATATGCAAGACAATTATGTTGACATGCTACTTATTTATGTCAACATGCGATGTAGTTATGTTAACATGCGAGTTATATTTTTACATACAAATTATTTAAGTCAACATACAAGATAATAAGTTGCATTTCAACTTACATATCTTGCCTGTTGACATAATTATCTTGCACGTTCACATCAATAAGTTGACATAAATAAGTCACATGTCAACATAATTATGTTGTATCTTACATCTAAAATGTCAGATACAGGCGCTAGTAAGGAAATTTGCCCATATTAAATTTTTTTTTCTTAAAAGATTGGTAACTTGCATGTCAACATAATTTTCTTGCATGTTCACATAAATTTGTTCCATGTCTACATAATTATGTTGCATGTTAACATAATTTATCTTGCATTAATATGCCACCACAGAATCCATAAATTTGTGTTGAAAAGATTTTTTTAACTTGGTTAATATTGAATTTCAAAGATAATCTTAATACTGAAAGTGAATTTGTTCAAAAGACAGGCCGCTGGTCCTATTTTTATGCCTATACTGTTATATATTTAGCGGGGTGGGGGGTTGTTCCTATCGTTAGAAGATGAATTTGAAAAAAAAAGTCTGCCAAGATCTTACTTTATTTGAAATGATTCATCGTCAGCTCTATTGTTATCTTCCTAAATGCATATTCTTCTCTTTTTTTCCCTTTTTTTTGTTTTGATTTGGGGAATATCATTTAGAAATGAAATCGTGGAAACACATTAATTCGACATCTGCTCCTCGGGGTTAATGTACTCTCGTAAACCACAAGTATATATTGATATAGCTAATTTTTTTTATTTAAAATGTGAGGGTATATAGTGATTGGAATGCCCATCAGTTTGTTACGATTTGGGAACTCATCTCTTATTCGCTCCTTCTCGTATATCCTTAACAAAAAACTATAGTTAACTATAGTTTGCTACAGTTAACAATTGCTATAACTTTGATACTTTGAAAACGTTGGTTTACTATAGTGATCACTTTGAACTTTGAAAAACTGGCGAAAACTATGACACTTTGATTTACTATAGTTAAGTATAGTTAATATAGTTAAATATACTTAACTACAGTTAATTATACTAAACAATAGATGTTGTTAATCATAGTAAACTATAGTTAACTAGAGCTTTTTTGTTATTGTTGTTAGGGATATAGCACTGCATGAAATTAAATGAGACTTTCACAGATTCTGTTTCATCTCATTGCGTACCTTTTACTTTCTCATCTGACACTTATTTCAGATCTCTCAGAGAAAAAACATGGACTTTGTCATTATAATTATTTTGGATTCGGCGTATCATTTCATGAGCTTAGTACTCAAAGTACCTTTAGTTTGATGATATTTTAATTGGCATAGTTTTTATTGAATTAATCTTGATTTTCCAATTTTCCACTGATAACTCTGATGTCACTTCCAAGACATTCTCTATAAGAGCCTAAAGTTTAAAACAATGATTAAACTCGCAGCACTGTTAAGGCTTACTACGAGAAATCAACGGAAAACAGAAGTGCAAAAACAGGCATTGTTTTTAAAACTGAATTTATTTTTATTCAGCTGTTCTATTATCAAAGAACTTAAATACTTATGGAAATAGCATAGTATAATCTACTTTGTACTGTATGGAGTTTAGTCCCATCGATGGACAGTCACGTGGTGAATGCATAGTAAGTACACGGAATGTAGGTCAAAAAAAAATTTCAATATCGCAAGGGCATACCCTAGTTGAAATTAAAAATTCAAACTATTAATTGTTTCTGCATATTTTGTACTTTTTGGAAAGTGCTGCTGCTTTGAATAAAATCAGCGTTTTAATAGTTAAAATATCAAGTAAATAGGCCAATGTCGAAATATGTTTGACTTTTACGAAATATTTTGTGTACTGATAAAGTCATGCTCTCCATTTAAAGAAAGCAGCAGCACTTTTCAAGTTAAGGAACATATCCTCTATTTATATTCAAAAAATGGTCAAGATTTATTTAGTGTATGCCCTTGCGAAAGAGCGATTTAATGAGGCACCTCGATGTAAAATATACCTAACCTGAACATAAAAACACGGTAGCATTATCTAAATACATTCTTTCGATAGTAAATGAATAATCGCACTAAACAAATGATATATATTGGTATTATTAACCTATTAAAAACCTGTAAATAATATTCTGTTTTATAATAAAACGCATTTTTCATTGTTAAAAAATTCCCAAATCTGCCTCTCACAGCACATGAAATACGTCATTTTTACCAAAATGACGTCATGATTGACAAGTTCATCGAGATCAGTGATTTGTTTAAAACCAGCTATATGGGATTTAACTAGCGACTTTTATTAATGCATTGATAAGTTTTATTGTTGTTTATAATGCTAATACAGTTTAAAGTTGCAAATTATTTCATTTTTGGGTAATATGAGGAATGCATAAAAGTCGTATTTTGGGTGTGACATCACAGTTAACTTTTCCCGTATAAATTAGGCCCCGCCCCCTTTTTCTAGCCTTAACAGTACTGCGCTAAAAAAAAAAGCATGCAAAAGCTGATAAAATTCGACTACTAGTATGTCTGTAAATATCAATTAACAAAAATTATTATATAGGTACGGAAACGTATAACCGCCTCGTGTTGTTGTTTTAGAACATGATAGTATGATATAAAAATGTTGTCAAATACAATTGATTCAATGTTTGGCGATATAACTATAACAACAATCTCTGATGAATAACGATTTCCTGAATTGTTTAAGACAATTTATACACTTTGATATATCAAAGTTGAATTTCTAAATGTCGCACATAAAATAATGTGTAATAATTAAGCCGCTAAAATTTAATATCGCAGACATTAGTGCAATATTACATATATGAAGACTTCGCGTAGACGACCAGATTAAATCAAAGAGAAAATTCAGCAAAATGCGAACGACTTGTAACATCAGATTTATTAATATAACGTATTGCATTGCATTGATGTCTGATTTAAATAAAATAATTAAAATTGTTATAGCACTAATTACAGGCCCGTAATCTTTTTTCTGATTGTGTGCTTTTCTTATGACTCGGGGCACTCTTTGAAAACTGTTGCTACGTGCCCGAATTTTCTTCTCCGAAATTGATTATTTAAAAAAAATATTATTTTTAGAAATAAAAATTTAAAATTTCAGAATAAACAAAACGAAATTTGCAGTTTTTACAGTGTTATAATCCTTATTGTATATGCTTTTTTTTAAATGTACTCAAAGAGCAACTTCATAAAATGTATATGATTGCATAAATAATAACATAAATCTGAATTTACTAAATGATTCATAACATGATTGGGGAAAAATTTTTGACAGCACTAACTAATGAGAAAAAGAAAAAGGAAAAAAATGCAAATTATTTCATTCTATTTATCAATCTACAAATAATTGTAAAATATAGAGTAAATTTTCAGTCTCTTTCTTATGATTATCAATTTTATTGGCGCATATCTAATTATAAGACCCTGACATCCTTCGATCTATTGCTAGATTCCTTGATGATCTACCTTACTTGAGGATATTTTATATGCTTATATGTACTTTTTTCCAGTTTCTTGCCTTTGACTATAATATTATTTTATTAACACATATACAATACATGTATGTATTTTCAGTATATCTCTTATATACTAGTACATTTTTATCAACTGCTCTTATTATATGTAAGATCATGTTTGTTCTATCAAATGGATCCTCCTCCTTCTTTTGTATGTAAATCTTTTTACTCCTCCAAGGGCCCACATTGGACTTATATCTTGTATCTTGTATAAATCTGACGTTGTTAGTCGTTCGAATTTCGTTGAATTTTTCTCTTTGATTAAATCGAGTCGTCTTAGCGAAGTCTTCATATATGTTATATTGCACTGATGTCTGCGATATCTAATTTTAGCGACATAATGTTTACACATTATTTTATGTGCGACATTAAGGAATTCAACTTGGATATATCAAAGCGTATAAGTCGTCTAAAACATATCAGAAAAGTAGCATTCATCAGAGATTGTTGTCATAATTTTATCGCCGAACCTTATAGTAACTGTATTTGACAACATTTTAATATCATAATATCGCGTTCTTAAACAACAACACGAGGCGGTTATACGTTTCCGAATACAGGGCTACATACAGACATTATTCTTAATTTACACTGACATTACAAACAATAAACATATTTCATTTTAAATTATTAGGTTTTTATACTTTAAAATAAAAAAAGATTCACAAGCCCCTTTCTCTTCAATTTTGGATGTTCTCACAAAAGATTATATATATAAATATTGAAAATTGAACATTAACACAGAGAATGGTTGATCAATATTTCTCTAAAACTAATTTAAAACACAGTTAGATGAGAATGTGGTTAATGTTTCATAACTTTTTGCCTGCTTTCCATGTATTAAATTGATGAAATGCTCTATTTTAATTTTCAATGGCAAAATACTGAATTTAAAAATATATCTCGATGACCTGTAGTATTAATAATAAGTAAATACTTATTGAACAGCTAACAAAACATTGAAAACTATGTATCAAGAAATTTCCTTAATTAACATTTCTGGTATTTGGAAAAACATTACATGCATAAATTCAAGGAATAACCCCGGTTCTCACAAAAATATCCCTATTCACCAAAATTGATCATGACATGATATTGATTCCCAGGAAATTAATTACTCATAAATACGGAATAAAAGGGTACTCATTGTGTTTATTATGTCAGTATTTCATTACTTGGTTGAGGATAACATCTTTGAGTTAACCTTAAGATTGTATATTTCTGTAGCTTTGGCAATTGCAAAAACTGAATTTATGTCGATTAAATTCAATTTACATCGTAAGTATTGATATTTAAAATCTTAATATAAATATCATGTAAATGTCATGTTTGAAATTAATTCGTTTTATAATTTTTATTTGTTGATTGATTGTATGTTGTTGAACGTCCCTTGAGAATTTTTCACTCATATGGAGACGCCACCACTTGCCGGTAAAGAGCTACAAATTGTGTCTTGTACCGTCACTCAGGGCCATTTAGCAGTGAGGAACATTTTTCGTGTTAGTACCTCCTGCAACATGGTGCCTCGGTTTATACGTTATGATCCGAAGAACCGGTTCTTTTTGTCGACAATTTACAAATGTTAATTCTAAAATATTATTTTAATGCACGGTGATTAACTAGGGATGTAAAAAAACCTGTTTCAATTTGATAGCCTTCTTGAAAGTTGTTTGAAATGTATCTTAAAGTGTCAGTTCTAATTCTAATTCTAATTTTTCAATATTTATATTATAAGTTTTAAATTAAAGCGAGCGCAGCGAGCGTCTCGAAGCAACGCTCGTCACTGCGAGCTCTTAAAGCAACGCCTGTGCGAAGAGAAAATTCGGACTACTGCACATTCATTCGATAGAATTTTTTGATGCAGTAATTTGGACCCAAAATGCATCGCTTGCTTTAGCTACGTTCTCGCGAGAATAACAGCATTGTTCATCAAAAACTTTACTCTCCTTGATTGAATGGATACATATTGAAAATAAATAGGCCCTAGTAAACGAAACGTTCTTCATTAACTTTCAGCACTGTTCAGGTTTTTTCTTGATTTGCAAATTACATACGACGTCATGTGACGTCAGAGTCTAGACGCACCAAATGTCAAATGCGGTTTGACGAGCCCGATCTCATTTAAAACAATAGAAGAGTTTGCGCTCGCTCTAACGGTCGCACCGTCAACATATTATTTGTCAAATTTATAAGATCAATGGACATTTACAAGCTTTTTTGTGTTAAAAGAAAAACTATTTCAGTTTCAGTCATATAAACATTCGTATGGGATTGAATATCAATGCTGATTGTAAACAATAAATTAAACTAAAATTCCTACGAATATTTATGCTTTCACAGTGTTTATTTTTGTTAAAAATATAACTAGAATCTATTCTTACAAATGTAGTTAAATATGGCAGGAAAAGTCTTTACAATCATGTTACGCTTTTCACAGATGTTCTATTGGCGACAATACATTTATTGTTCTCTATTTGTGAAGCTGACTTTCAGGGGAATTCAAGGTAAACTATACAGTATAAACAGAATATTCTTTTTTTGTCTTTGTAAATTATATATATACTTTTAACTGTCTGAAGAGCCATTAGGCAGAAAGCCCTAACAGTAAAAATAATTTTCGAGATTTGTGATTTCTGACTTTTTTTCATGGGATATATATATATATATATATATATATATATATATATATATATATATATATATATATATATATATATATATATATATATATATATATATATAAAATCCAAATTCAAATGATAAACTCAAACTTTTATATAAAGCGCTTTCGCCCCATGCGGGCTCATCAGTAGATTTGAAATTGTAAACAAGTTACATTATGACGTCATTCTCGTGACGTTATGTAGGCAACGTTAAACATAATGATTGTGACGTAATAATAATCATAGTTAAATCAGGCGCACAGATAGAGTTTTACAGTTCATCTGATCAAAGTTTAGCGCCTATTATAAATGTACAATATTATACATCTACTATGAAATTGCCATTGTTAAACCGAAATACCAGTGTTCTGATTGTACATATCATGCATGATTACTTAAATCTAATAAATTGCAGCTGTTTCACCTTCATACATACAAATAATACAAGTCCACGGGATGTGGAGGATTCCTGTTTTGAAATGTCCAGAAGCAATGTTAATATACTCTATGGAGGTGAGAAATTTTAAAATCCATTTGACAATTAGATACTGATGGAAAATGTTATAAATGAGGAGTGCTATCAATATGTCTACTTCTACTAGAGTTTTATTTTTATTTAGGTATAAATCTATACATAAAGAATCTGACCAACGACTCTTCGTGTTCTTTTATGGACCTCAAACTTGAGACAATGCAAAAATACATAATTGATGGAACCGGTCAACGAAGACTGTGTAGAACAAAGATGGTTTTCTCCATCAATACCACCATGTGCGAAAAAACAATTAGACATCTTAAATTCTCCTGTGATGAAAACCGTCAAACAAGAAAAAGCATATTTTTTCAAAGTAAGACGACGTGCATATAAGCGAATTCTACAGAGTAAATTCCTCACGTTTTTTTTTATAAATCAACTAACTACCGGTGGACATTATTAGATCGAAAGATTTCATAACTAAAGCAAATTAAATATTTTCATTTCTATACTTTTAGAGTGTGGAAGTACACGTTGTCTAGATAAAAATATGAAGAGTGAAGAAAATTCAAAAGGTAAAGCATTCCTCGCCATTTTTAAAATTTTTTTAGATGAAATATTCTTTATAATTCTTTGATAATGATATTTTTCTTGTTAAATTCCATAGATAAAGCTCAAGGGGCATTGATGATATCTGAACTTCCTTTGCCAAATCTATCTACGTTTGGACTTCCTGCTTATGACATACCAACAGCACATTGTAACATGAGGCAGTGCAAACCAGTGAATTGTTCTGCCAATCAGTTAAACAACTTTTCGGTGACCACACCTGGTACTTAAAGATACCTTTTATTGACAACTTTACTTTTTAAGGTTAATTGGTTGTAATTCTGCTTTTAATTTTTAACCCGTAGGTATTTTTTAACCATTTTGCAAGTGCAGGTAAAAATAGTATGTTTCTGATAATTAAAGGCGTTTCTATTATTTTTTTTAAAAAAAACTGAAATTATCAATAGGTTACAATTAGATCTTGAATTCAAAGTAACTGGCACTATACCTTTATTTTGTCAACTGATATGTTTCAGAGCTGATAGAATTAAATTGGTAAATCAGAATTTAAACAGTATTTTTTTAAACGTTCACTGCTCACAATTGAAATAGACTAATACATTTGAATAGAACACACGCCAATGCAAGCTAAAGACATCCAATACATGCTTTATGCAATCGGAAGTGGATGTGGTGGACTGCTGGTCGGAAGTTTAGTAACATCTATCGTGTGCATTATTCTTAATAAATACAAGAAGAATTATAGGTGTGTAAATTTTATTTTATATGAACCTTTTTCAAAAGATTAAATATTCATTGTAACATAAGTCATGACCTCTGACTTCAAAGCAGTTTTAAACAGTTTCTCTCTCTCTCTCTCTCTCTCTCTCTCTCTCTCTCTCTCTCTCTCTCTCTCTCTCTCTCTCTCTCTCTCTCTCTCTCTCTCTCTTGCGCGCGCCTCTAATAATTTCTTTCACAATTTATTAAATTAAGGACAGAATAAGTTGTACTATAATACGATTCTCTCTGATTTCTAGAAATTTTGGTGTTGTGTCTTTTTCCAAAGGCAACGTTCAACTGTTGTCTGAGACGGAACGGAAAATGTCCATTCACTCAAAGGAGGGCGAAACTGTGTATCATGATATCTCCGATGTAGCGGTTAGTCATGCTTCTTAATTAAAATTACTAATCTTATATATGAGTTTCATTATTTTTTATGAAACAGACTCTTTGTTCAGTAAGTAAAATGATAAATATTAATATGCATAGCAAGTTGAACTAAGAAGGATATGAAATATCGTTGTTAAAGCATGGGTAAAAAAAAATGAGTTTTTATCTAAAATTGCTTCTGTTCTTCACAGATAAAATGAAAACTAATTCTGAATTGATGTACCAAATTTTTAGGTTGATTTCTATTATTGGTACAACAAAGAAATCCTACAAACAAAATGCTAAATACATGTGTACATGTATTTGAAATTAAAAGATCATGATTTTATACGATTCCGTAATGGTATAAATACAACATTTAGAATGTTAATTATTTGTCTCCATAAGAGAAATTTACAAAAATTGTATAAATCTTAGTATTATGATGTCCTAGAAAATGACTAGTGAGGCGAAAAATCTTATTTAGATCCTTAAAGATTAATTTTTATCATATAGACACTAACAGAAATTATTTTTCTTTATTGTACCAACAATCTGATTGGCTCAAACTGGATTACATGATCAAGTATAAAATGTGTTACGGACTGGATGTTTCTATTTTAAAAAATTATAATTTAATTTTATTTGTACATTGGTTGGATGCAATCCCCTCATTTTTCTATTTTAAAAAATTTATAAACCTGCTGTTTCTAAAATTGGAAACGTTCTTCTGTCAAGCAACAATAGTGCTAACGTCACAATAGTCTTTATAGACTGGATGTTTCTAAAAACAGATACTGCGGCAGGTTTTCATTACTGTGACGTCATAATGCAATGACATAACAATGCCTTGTATGGAAAGGTACTGAGTATTAGAAAGAAGGATTTTAAGACATTTCTTATTAACTAATAAAAAATAATAAAACAATTGTAGCCTTTTGATTCGGCACAATCCCTTGATATATATTCGTGCTCGGTCGATATGATTTCTCTAAGGTCTATATATCGAGGGATTGACCTCATCAAAAGGCTATAATTTGTATAGTATTAATCATTATTTCTGATTTTCAAAAAATCGAATGTTATGTTTACTTGAAATATGTTTAATTTCTCAATGAATCATGAAAGGGAAGTACAAAAAGAGTACCATTGGTAAACGCTATGTATATGGCAGGTTATGCTTTAATTTCCTGAAATGAGATTTATATCGCTCAGTTTACTTAAATTTTCAGTTGATAGACATTCTTGGGAAAATTGTTTACATATTCAGATTAAGCATTAAATAGTCAAAGCATACAAATGTTTTTACATAGAGATACATTCATATTCTTGAACGAACCATTAATATTTAAAATAAAATCCCATATCAGTTAAAAAGATAAATTCACTGACGAGTGTTATATATGCGTTATCATAAAGTGGTTAATATTTTTGTTTTCCTTGCCTGTTTATTTGTTGTTTTCTGATTTTCTGATTTTAAAAAATTCTAAAGTATATTACAAGTGCATTTAATATCATTAGTACGAAAGCCCAGAAGGCTCATTCGAGATTCAAGGTTCGAAATACGAGATTCGAAATTCGAGTTTAGAAATTCAAGATCCAATCTAACCAATCAAAAGCGGTTACAACGTTTTATTACTTCCCTTTGTTACGTTTTTATTCTCAAGAAATCGTGAATATATTTATAACAAATGGATCATTTGCTAAAATGATAATGCAAAAAAAATGTTTTATGTATTAAAACAAAATACAAATAAAATTAGGATTACATTTTGAAAAATACATATTTTTGTTTATCATACTACGTCTTTCAAGTTTCAAGCCTTTTAGTGTGTTTGGAAAAATAGGCAGGCGGGGTGGGTAGGGGTGGGTTTTTTGTTAATCTTAAGACACTTGACACGTATTCATAACTTTATTTATTTATAGATCATCAACCCCGTAAACAAGGGAGACAATACAAAAATATATATATATTCCTGATATATGTATTTTATTTAAGAAGCCATAATATAAATTGAAGTATATCTTGCTGATCAAAAATCCAATGATTATTTAAATTTCCTTGTTGAATCTCGTAATTGTAATTTCGAATCTCGTATTCCGAATCTTGAATCTCGAATGAGCCTTTTGAGAGCTTTTGATTGGTTTATCTGGATCTTGAATTTCGAAACTCGAAATTTCGAATCTCGTATTTCGAACCTTGAATCTCGATTGAGCCTTTTGGGCTTTCGTACATTAGACAGGTTTTGGTAGCTTATTATGGATTGATAATTCGTGGGCTGAATTTAGACATAAGCTTACTAACAAATTCATCAATTACTCCGATCACCATTTATTTCCAAAATATATCTAGTCACTTGTATTTATTGAATATTGTTTTTTTATTTTGGTTACCTTTGTCAAGGAAAAAAATTAGTTACGTGATATTTCGGACAACGCATTTCATTTATTTTTCGGACGACTGAACAAATAGGTAAATTTTGCTGGTCAATTGATATAAGTGTTTACTTTGGGCACTTTAATTTTTGTCATTTGTGTTTAAATTTAGTTTTTTGCATCCATTTTGACACCTGTCTTAGGGTTTGGTTTGAAATTGTATCGACATACTCGATAATACCACATATAACACAAACAAATATAAGCACTCTTTTCCAGTAATCAAGGTCTAGTTCTAGCGATAATAATTCACTTACTGAATGCAAAGTGTATTCATATATTCCGTTTAGTCCGCAATTATTGTACAATGAGAAACAAAAGGAAAAAGATTCAAGTATTTTGAAGCTTTCAGTTATTTCTATCTGTTTCTTTATTTTTATTTTTCTCAGGGACCATCAAAGGTTAGAGCTATACAACACGGTGTATCTAACCTATTGACAGACGATTCCTCTGAACAACGCTACAGTGAAAGTCCAAAAAGCAGTACCAGTGCTTACGAAAATGGAAGCATATCATCACAATTGTCAACAAAGAGTGCACCTACCAAGGAGAAAGAAAGCTTGAAAAAACGTGAAACCCCCCAAATTTATCATAAATTAGCGAGGGATTATAAGGTTAATTCAGGAAATGTGGCCATAATGACTGGTAAAGAAACAAATGTTATAGATACTGACAATGACTACAAAAATGAAACGTCTTTTGAGGAAGGTGGGCAATGTTCGGCCTCGATGTATGAAAGCCCCGTCGATAAACATCATGTCTCATTTCTTCAAAAGGAAGAACATGACTCTAGTTATTTATTGGAGAGTACTGTTGAACGTTTGTCAGAGACGGGCGACGTGAAGAAAACCTTACCTGGTGTTTATCACACCTTACAGGAGGAAGGAAGTGAACATTTAGGGGATGTGACGATAGGTATGGAAAGCAATGCCGATCAAGATAAAATAAGTTCGAATGGTTCGAATTCACAGAAGGAATATTGCGTAATTACGGCAAAACCTCTAGAACAAGAAAGTTCCTCATCTGAATCATTAAGTGAAAAATAATACATATGAATAATATTCCTGGCGAAATACAGAAATTTCTATGAGAGAGAAAAATTGGACAGAATTTTGTACAAATATGGTTGTGTAAAATAAATATTAGCATTAATTCTCATTTTTGATATTATGTACAAAACAAGCCAGTTGCAAAAATTTAATGGTATATGTAATTTTATATTATCTTGATTGAAGATTATAAGAAAAATTTGCCAGAAATATCCAGTTGCTTATCCATCTGCAACCTAGGGGAAAGGTGACTAGGTGTTCATAGTATCAATTATTCCTATGTCTCACTTTTTTGTAAAATAGTAATCTATATGAACAAATCTTTGAGTGAACTTGAAAATGTTACAACATTATTATTTGATGAAAGGAACTGTTAATTGGAGTATTAAATTTAAATATGTGTTAGATCTTATAGATTTTGTTCCTTCCTTTTTACCATTTAATTCGTCGTAGTCAATTTTACATACCGTTAGGTAACAAAATAATCCACATATGTTTCATTCAACAACTTTAATAAGAATTTATGTAATTTTTAAAAAGAATTAAATAATCTATATTAACTTATTGTTTAAGAAATAAATAGATGTACTAAAAATAAAATTTTAGTTAAGCATTGCAATTTGAATGAAAAGGTTAATTTATGTTGGATTTGTATACCCTCCGTTTGAAAAGTGTCGGGGTTTATAGAGACGGGGGTGTCCCTGTGTCCATTACACTTTTGGATACACATCTTTTATCCGCAACTCCTCTTATCCAACTGAGAATCACAGGATCTCTTACATTTTGCCGGTGGGATCTACCTATTTTACTTTTTAAAAGAATGCATACATGTATTTTGAATTTCCAAAAGAAAGCATGTACACTGTCATTCTTTCTATTTTATTGAGGAGTGCCCAACTCCTCCGATTGATGAGACTTTCACAGATTTATTCTTAGTTGATGACATTATGTACCTCCTATCAGACTTTTGATCGGACACTTTTTGGGGGCACCATTTTTGAGCTCAGTGCTAACAGTACCTCTTGTTTTCATTTTAGATTGATTGGGAAGATAAACTTCTATGATTTTTTTAATGCAATAGTTAACCCTATTTTCAATAGATAGAATAAACAGAAAACACATAATATTGACATTTTCTATTTCAAGATTTAATATTCCAAAGCTTTGAATTCGAAAAAAGACATTTTTGAATTTTTAATAAATGGTTCATTTAAGCACAAGCTATACGCCAACCAAAACCGAATCCCGAGAACAAATATTGCCCGTTTTTATCTTTGGTTTACTAATTATTATTAAAAATAAAATAACGTTTTCATAATTATATTGAAAAATTGGGAGAATTCTTGAATATTATTGTACATGAAAGCTGTTTGATAGCGAAAATAGCTACACCAAATACAAATATTACAAACATAGTTATTTATTACAAATTATAAATTTTATAATTGTACCATCATACAAAATCCTTTGTATACTGACTGTCAATGGATACATGTTCCCTACTTATCCGTTAAAAATAAAAAAAAAAGATATGTAAGACCTTTTTAATAGGAAAGATACTGATTCTCCTTTGGCACCTCCCATCAGCGCTGGTGTTTTCGTAGAATCCGTGTTGTCCTGTTTTTATCTGTGTTGTTTTTACATTGTTGCTTTCATTTTTTGAATGTTTGGAAGAAATATTCTAGGTAACTTGACATTCACTTTTTCTGTTTTTATATAATCGTTACAATATACATCTCAATTGTCTACTTAATGATGCTTTTCTGTGGACACTTATTATTTACTTCCGCGATTCGCTTTCAGTAAATTTACGGGGAAAAATAACAGAAAAACATTTAAAAATTAATATACGTGTTTTTTATGCGCCCAGATTGATAGATCCAGGACGTATATTGTTTTTGTCATGTCTGTCTGTCTGTCTGCCTGTCTGTCTGGTTGTTTATTTGTTTGTTTGTTTGAAAAGAGCAAGAGCCACATTGGGCCTTATTTGGCCCTGAGAATTTCTGAAAAATCAAAACCGCTCAGTTTAGGTTGCAAATGCAGTATTTATCACTTGGAATGCTGGGGACCACGTATGTATTAAACATGACGTAAATTCCCACCTAGTCAATGCATTATGACGTTTTAAACTGCGTCATTTTCCTCATATCCTGCAAATTCATTTGAAAATGATTTAAAGTTCAAGCATTTTTTCAATATTTCATATAGAGCACAACCTCTGATCCAAAATATGCAAATACATAATGAAGGCTCTGTTTCTGAAGATCCAAAAACACGTTTTATTTTTGGGATCGTGGGCTGTGCTCATATTTTATTTCTTTGCTGAAGGTAGTCAAATATGCATGTTTTCTGCATATTTCAAGAACATTGCAATTTCTCAAACCTGTTTTGTAATATCTTTATTTTCAACACGAAATTTTATTATAGAAAATGAAAGCACCACGTGTATACTTTATTTTGATATATGAAATTGGAAGGAGGGTAATAGTTAATTAATTGATATAAGTACAGGGTCATTTTAAGCATAAGATGGCTCTTGCTTTTTAACCTTCGCCATAACTTTTGAACCATGAAAGATAAAGACCTCATATTTTGTATGCGTGGGGATCCGGGTTAAAATAGGTCCTCAGTACCCCCTTGCTTGTCGTAAAAGGCGACTAAATGGGGCGGTCCTTCGGATAAGACAGTGTAAACTGGGGCTTCGTGTCACAGCAAGTGTGGCACGAAAAAGCTCCGTCCCTGCTCAAAAGCCGTAAGTGCCGAGCATAGGCCCAAATATGCAGCTCTTCACCGGCAATGGTTACGTCTCCATATCAGTGAAATATTCTGGAGAGGGACGTAAAATAGAATACAATCAATCAATCTACTAATTAAGCTCATTCAAATAATACCAAGGCCAATGACCTTGTGACCTTGACTGTGACATTTATCTTAAAAATATCTTTTTATCTGCAAACTTTAACCTTCGCCATAACTTTTTAACTTTGAAAGATAGGGACTTTATAGTTGGTATGCATACACAACTAATTAAGCTCTTTCAAATGACACCAAATTATGACCTTGTGACTTTGACTGTGACATTTATGCTAAAAAAAGCTTTTTAAAAAAATTGTTGCCACCGGGCGCATAGTGTTTCACAAACACATCTTAACTTGTTTCAATTGCGAATTTGCTAGCAACAATAATTTTGTTTTTGTTATTATCATATTTTAAACTTTTATATAAACTTTTACCTAGGCTTCAGGCTTTCAAATTACACATATTTGTATGAAAGCTATGGCATTATGCGTCTAAATGCTTCCTTATACTATATTCAAAAACGGATTTTAATGATTAAGAGTATGGCGAATGAGTAATGATCTTCCGATTAATCCAACAAAAACACTTGAATTGAAAATATTGAGAAACTTTTGAGAAGTTATTTTTTCAGGAAGTGAAAATTTATTAATTGAAGGGATACAGGGAATAACCTAATTTCATAAAATTGATGTTCTCATTTATTCAGTCGGGTCTTTACATGAAGTTATTTCTACCAGGAAATTGATTCACCACAAAATTAGATAAAAAGGTAACATTTCGTCAACTGTGTCAGTAGTATGCATTGAATTTCTGGGACACTGACGGAATATTACCGTGAATATTTTCTGCAGATATGTTCTTCGCGATGATATTTGTATTTTTCACTGTTTGTGAAGCTGATTCACAAAATGGAACAAGGTTAACTTTGTTTAAATTATTATTTTTTTTGATAATCCAAAAATCGGTTGTTTGATAATTTGATATTTATAGTAAGTAATGAATATGTCATTAAGATTGTTACGAAATGCCTTTTCTTCTACATTCTGGAAAAATAGTAAAATGCAAATGATTTTATGATTTTTTGAATTGTAGCTGTTTTTCCTTCATTCATACTGATGAAAAAAGTCCAGACAACCTGGAGGAGACCTGTTTTGAAATGACCAACGACAGAGTTAATGGTTTTTATCAAGGCAAGAAGTCTTAACATTGAAGTAAAGTTGTGAAAATGCTTTCAAGCGACAACCAAGAGTATTCCTTCATTTATCTTAGTCTTTTCACCAGGTATATCTTTTTATGTCATGGACCTTGATGATAAGAAGCCAGCATCGTGTTCTTTTGAAGACATCAAACTTGAAACCATACAGAAATACATTACATTAGAAGGCACCAGCCAACGACGATTGTGTAGGACAAAAATGATTTTCTCCATCAATACGACCATATGTGAAGACAAACTGACATATCTGAAATTCTACTGCGTGGGAAATGTCACAAGAACAAAAAACCTATTTTTTCAAAGTAAGAAATAAGTTAAATCCAAAAGAAAACTTTGAATAATCCTTTAAGAATAGACCCAGACATATTTCAAAGTGAATGAAATATTATATCTCGTATTTTCAGATTGTTTTTCTGTTCACTGCCCTGGGAAAATGTCGGAAAATAAGGAAAAGCAAACAGGTAACATTTTTTAATTAAAAAGGTTTTGGATAATTCTTATCTAATCTCTATATTTAAAAAAGTTTGAATTTTAAAATTGTTTTTGTAAAGATACGGAGGCGCTGGTACTGTCTGAATTCCCAGCAGTTTCTAAGTCTGGACTCTTTGCTTATGACATACCAACAACACAATGTGACATGAAGCAGTGTAAATTAGAGAATTGTTCCACTGACGAAATAAGAAAATTAAAGGAAAGAATTCTAAGTAAGTAAGCTTGATTCGGTTTTGAAAGCCCTGTCAGATGTTATTTTGCAAGTCTATTTCCTGCATACTTTCCGTATGTACTTAAATTTTATGATTATTTTGTTATGAATGATCAAATAATTTTTGTCACGTTTTATAAAAAACTTTATATGAATTTCTCCATGAAAACCAGATCCCGCCTTTCATGTTTTCAAAAACCCGGGTATGCCCTGCTTGATAATTGTTTCTTTTTTTATTTCATTGCAACACTAAAACATCATTGCATACCAATTTATATCAAAAAGTTAGCAATATATTTCATAATTTGTAACTACATTGTAATTATATTGAGACGAAGATTAAAACGTTTGCATTAGACGCTATTCCTTCAGTAGAATTGTACGCAATATTATACAGTAAGAAAGACGAACAAAACAGAAGACAAGGGATGTTTGTTTTTTACAATTGGAAGTGGAAGTGGCGGACTTCTAGTGGGGATTCTATTAACGTCCGTCACGTGTCTTCTTTTAAACAAGTGTAAAACAAGTAGCAGGTTGGTATATTATATTTGATTAAAATGTTAATAGTTATTATATCTATGAGCTTCACTAAATCAAATATTCCAGAAGACGGAGATCTAGTTGTTCATCTCTCTCTCTCTCTCTCTCTCTCTCTCTCTCTCTCTCTCTCTCTCTCTCTCTCTCTCTCTCTCTCTCTCTCTCTCTCTCTCGTTCGTTCGTTCGTTCGTTTGATCGATCGATCGATCGATCGATCCAATTAAGTCAATGTACTTTTCATTACTAATGCAACAACAATCAATTCATTAAAGTTAAATGAGCTTAAATTATGTGTTTGACGATGTTCCTGTTTTGTAGAAATATTGGAGAAGTAACATTTTCCAAACAGAAGGTTCATCTTTTATCTGGGACAGAAAGAAAAATGTCCATTCATTCTAAAGAGGAGGAAACTGTGTACCACGATATAAGCGATATTCCGGTTTGTTTCTTAGTATTAAGTTATATTTTACTTTTTTTCCCAAATAAACTTTTAAGGTACTCCAATCCTCACGTTCTGAAAATCAGGCAATGTCTAATTGAAAATGCTCATTTAATTTTTTTTCTGAATTCTTAAAGTAGTGTGTTTGTACCCATAATAATTCTTCAAACCTTATCTGTAAATTTAATAATATTATTTAGGGAAAATTGGTAAATATCTTTTACATTTTCAGGAGATGCGAATAAGAACACCTACTAAGCCTTTTTCAATTTAAATTAATCAACAAGCACATTTTAGGAATAAAAATCGTAAATTTCTTCTATTTTCTTCAATTATTTTACATTTTTTAGTGTAAAAAGATTTTCCTTTCATTACAAAACACCATTAATCATTCTTATTTCATATCGTGTAAATAAACATTACAGGTATCTAAGATTAGATTAAAATGAACTTCAATTTCTTTAAATATGTAATTTTAAAATACTTTTATGGGGTAACAATTTCGACTTTTTATTAGACTTTTCTGAGAACTTCAAAGAACCTTGAAGCACATTGAAAAATAAATTGCTGAATGAAAAAATTAAATTTTATAGCATCAATCTTTGAAGAGATATCCTTCCTGGTTGAAGATCGGAGTACCTTCAACGCTTTATTTTAATATTTTAAAATTTTCTACCTGTGATTAGTTTGTTTTTATAAGATATTTTAAAGGAGAGATATCATAACTATGTTTTTTTTTATTTGCTAAAAAAGTTGAAAAATGTAAAAACATAATCTCCAGAAAAACTCAATTCAAAATTAATTAAAATTAGAAAATTAAATCTAAGATTTGCAGACCACCATCATATAATAAAGTTACTTTTGAAACAACGTTATTAAGGTAGGACCAAATAGATAGGTCAAATTTTTCCTCAAATTCAATTTTTCTGAAACTTTGATATTTTGTTCTTGGATACAGAATCTCTCTTTATATATGATATGAAAGAAATTCAACCGCACATTTTTTGCCCACATAGTCTGAAATATGGCCTTTCAGACCCCTGTAAGAGGTTTGTGAAATCAGACATTCGACTTGAGAATGAGCCTTATTTTAGAATTTTCTATTGATCTATTGCAAATTTGTGTAATACTTTTAATAAAGATAACCTTTTAGTTACTTTAAATCAGTAAGTCACATTGATGCTGGAAAATGTGGGTAAAATATTAAGTAAAAAAACATACATTGTGTCAGAAACTGAAAATTCACATGTAAATATCCGACAGTTTAAGTTTTCAAAAGAGAAAATGTATAATTCAATTTTTACAAAAAATTATCAGAATGATTCAAATGGGTCCTAGAATAAAATGTGTAAAAATAAAGAAAATTGTACCGGTGGTTTCAGATATTTTGGTGATTTAAAAAAATTAAATGGCAAAAAACTAAAAGATTCAGTAGATGACGTCACAATATTTGACCTTTGACCTCTTGATATGACCTTGACCTGTGTAGTACATAAAGAATAGAGACTCCTTATATATGTGTCCAAATATCAGCCCTCTACTATTTATGGAACAAAAGTTGAACTGCATTTTATAACAGACTGTAACTTGCTTGTTTATTGCACTTAGATAGTGTAAACACATTCCAAAATGTAAGCTCCCAAATCACCAATATATAGGATTCTCTGATTTTTTCACAAAATATAACGCAAATTTGCCAAAACTTATTATTTTTCTTTCAGATATCATTCGTTGTTGTCAGTATAGTAATATTACTCTTTTTTTTCCTCCAGTACTTTTTTAAGAAATGGGCTGAAATAGAATCCACGGGTGTTTTGTCCTACCTTAAATTCCCCAAAAACCGTTTTGAAAAACAATTCAACGAAATTTGATCCCACGAAAATTTGTGTTTTTAACACGATCTTTATATTCGTTCTCGCTGCACCATATATAGCTATTTTATTGCTAGATCTGACTTAAATCATTAATAAAAACTATAAAACCTAATACCATTGAACTTGTTATTTTTTTTTAAATCAATTTAATATTCCCGAGTTGAAAATCAAAATCGTATTTGTTAACTTTTCTTGAAAGATGTCAAAATCAGGATACGAAAAATGTATTTATTCAATAATTTTAAAATGCAACATTGAGATTTTCTCAAGTTTAAAATTAAAAAACGCTTTATTAACAATATTAACAATTTGTAAATAATATGTATACTAAGAAATTGTAGATTGTAAATAGTCAAATGTTAATCCAAGTTCACATCAAAAAGTGCGCCTTGCAACAAGTAATTGGATTCCAATTTTAAGTCTAAGAGTTAAAATCCAATATTATGAAAAATTATTGCACTTATTAACTTTATGCACTTTGATTTCTTAACGTGATAGAAACTGTACACAATTTATCTGTTAATCTGCTTGTTTAAATATTTTTAAGCGAAGTTTTAAATTTAAAATACATGCATTATTGAATAACTGTTGTTAGTTTTTGGACATCAAGAAATAACAAATAAAGTATCAAAATTTAATCCCTATGATATTTTACAGGGCCCCTCACAGTTAAGAGATATACAACAGGGCGTTTCTAACCTTCTTACAGACGACTCCCCAGAACAACGCTACAGTGAAAGTCCAAAAAGCAGTACTAGTGCTTACGAAAACGGAAGCATATCATCACAATTGTCAACAAAGAGTGCACCTACGAAGGCGAAAGAAAGCTTGCAAAAAAGTGAAAAACCGCAAGTATATCACACATTGGCCAGGGATTATAAGATTAATTCAGGAAATGTGGTCATTTCGACTGGAAAACAAACAAATGTTATAGATACTAACAATGACAACAAGAAGGAAGCAAAGTCTTTTGCGGAAGGTGAGCAACGTTCGGTGTATGAAAGTCCAGTTGATAAACATCGTGTCCCATTTCTTCAAAAGGAAGAACAAGATTCAAGTGATTTGTTGGACAGTACTGTTGAACGCTCGATAGAAACGGACGATGTGACGAAGAGCTTACCTGGTGTTTATCACACTTTACAGGAGGAAGGAAGTGAACATTTAGAGGAAGTGACGATAGGTATGGAAAGCAAGGTCGATCAGGATAAAAGAAGTTCAAATGGTTCAAATTCACAGAGGGAATATTACGTGATTATGGCAAAACCTCTAGAACAAGAAAGCTCCTCATTTGAATCATTAAGTGAAAAATAATGCATATAAATAATATTCCTAATTTTATAACAGAAAATTCTTTGAGAAAAAAAAGTTGGACAAATTTTTGTGTTTAATAAAATTAATATGGTTGAGTAAAACAAACATTAGCAATATCTAATTCTCATTTTTGATATTATGTACAAAACAATCTAGATGCCAAAATTTAATTGTTTTTTTTTAAATATTATCTTGACTGAAGATTATAAGAATAATTTACCAGAAATATCCAGTGGCTTATCCAACTGCATCCTGGGGGAAAGGTAACTAGTTGTTAATAGAAACAGTTATTCCGGTGTCTCACTTTTTTGTAATTATAACAGTTATCTATATGAACAATATTTAAGTGAACTTGTACCAATTAAAACATTTATCATTTGTTGAAAGGAACTGTTAATTGGAGTATTGAAATTATGTGTTAGGTCTTACAGAATCTGTTACTTCCTTTTTACATTATAAGTCGTCGTATTCAATTTTACATACCATTAGGTAACAATATAATCTTTATATATTTTATTTCAGAACTTTAATCAGAATTTATGTCACCTTAAAATAAATTAAAAGATAACCAAAATTGTAAAATATATGAGGAGATGTAATTAACATCAAATTTTAGTTATGCGTTGTAGTTTGAAAGAAAAGGTTAATTTATGTTGGGTTTCTATATCTTTCGCTTGAAACGGGGGTGGGACGGTTAATAGTGATTGGGGTGTCCGTCTTTCCATTACATTCTTGGGTACACAATTTTCATCCGCAACTCCTTTTATACTACTGTATAAAATGAAATGAGAATCACAGAATCTCTTTCATTTTGCCAGTGTACACTTCCTATTTTACTTTTATATAGGACACATACATGTATATTGAATTTCCAAAAGCAAGCATGAAAACTGCCATTCATTCTATGATATTTAAGAAAGAGGTATCCATGTCTTATCAGCAACTCCTCCTGTTAATGAGACTTTCACAGAATTATTCTTACATGATGACATTGTTAACCTCCTATTTGACATTTTGATTGGACATTTTTTTCGGGTCTTCCATAGCAAAATATGGCCTTTGTCATTATAAACATATATGTTTATAGTCGAAACATAGTGGAAGCGGGGGTATCATTTTTATTAGCTCAATGCAAACAGAACCCCTAGTTTTCTTTGTTAGATTTATAGAGAGATTAAAATCTATGATTTATTTTTCAATTACATACATCTTACAATAGTTAACTCCATCTGCAATAAATAGAAAACACATAATATTGACATTTTCTATTTCAAGATCTAATATTTCAAAGCTTTCAAAAAAGAGACATATTGGAGCTTTTAATAAATGGTGGAAAAACCACATGCTATATGCTAACCAAAACCGAATCCCAAGATCAAATATAGCCTTTTTTCTGCTTCCCTATGGTTTACTATTTATCCTCTAAAATAAACTAACGTTTTCATAATTACATTAAAAATTGGGAGAATTCCTGAATAATTATTTTCCAGAAAGAACTGTTAAATAGTAAAAATAGCTACGCCAAAACTTTTTTTTAAAACCAATTAAAAGTAAACTGAAATCAAATTTCTTCTTCTAACTGAAAGTCATTGGATACTTCGCACTATATACACGTATATATCGGTAGTTCAGAATAAATATTTTAATAACAAACTATCATGAAGACAAAAACTTTGCATTATCGACGACATGCAATGGTATTATAAAACAGAAAAAAGACAAGTACTTCTTTTTTCTCAGATTTCAAAACAATTATTTAATGGCCGTGGTATATATCTTTAATGCTTGTCATATGGATATGATTTTCTAAAAATTACATGCTATCAAATTATTCTAATTATTTTAATAGTTTATCCTTTACATTCTGGTGCATCATACACATTTTAAATGCATCTATGTACCTAGTATTGAACGATAGAATAGCAATTTGATGCACTTATAAGATGAACTTAAAAGCAAAAGGAGGATGCAATGTAAGTGCTTTGCTAAATTTAGCATCGTTAAATGTTGTATCGGAAAACGCCCATCATTTCCTTTTTGACTCCAAATTTCAGACTCAGTGTCGATGTCAGAGATATTTAGTTTCCTTGTCTCCTATTTATATATTTTCCTATGTATACGATGACCTTGAAATATAACCTTTGTTAAATGATACGTGCTGTATTCTAACACACTTATTGACTGGGGAAATGAAACCGGTAATTAAAGTGACACTTAAAATAACTTCCAACCATAGAGAATTTTATATAACTTTCAAAGGACGAAAAAACCATTTTTTCCCATAAAATTTTAGTTATACACAATCCATGAAAAAAAAATTCATTTTTAATACATGTACTTCTGTTAATTATTTTTTTATTTACAAAATACTTTATATTAAAACTTTCGAGAGAATTGAGTGTAGAGAAATTTTTTTTTATTTTAAAGAAGTGCAAAACATCTACTTTCATGTCCATTTGGTAATACTAAGTGAACAAAACACAAGGGCCATTTTTTAGCCTCTACCCTACAACAAGAGATCCTTCAATTCAAAATTAGAAAATATATATGTATAGATTGGTGTTCATCATAATAATTTGCATCCATTTTTTTTTTGTTTAAATGGTCATGGGGAAAAGGTTTTAATAGATCCTGGCTAAATCCCAAGTCTCAAGAAAAGGCGGAAGCCATTTCACAATACAAATATCTAGACTCCATAGATCAGTAGTTATCATTATTATTAAAATCAATTTTCCTGCCCTGGAGAAGAATAAAAAAATAATTCAAGTCTTAAGTTCAATACATGACGTAGGATCAAAGCCTAAAATAAACAATAGTAGGTCACTAACATGACCTTTTAATCTAATTCAAGAGGCTAAGTTCCGTTCCTAATTTAAAGAAAAAGGTAAAGTGTTTATCTTAAAATCTTTTTCAAAGATGTTTGACTATATACTCAACATCAAAATGCTCTTAGAGGATGTTTTTGATTGAAATTCAAATTCTGTAACGTATTCAAAAGAAATTTGGATAATTAAACTGCGTTTTAGTTTCAACAAATAAAACAAATTTTCAAATCACTTACAAAACTATAAAATACCAAATGAAAAAACTATTTTTAATTCAGAATTACAGCAGTTTCTACCGAACAAAAACTTTGTTAAATCATAGAAAACTGTTTATTTTTTAAATGTTTAAAGCGAATCATTAATCTGCACAAATTCTTTCCATTAAACTTGCTAAACTATTATGTTATTTCCCAAATATATGACATTGTTAGTTTAAAACTAAACTAGAGGTACTGTGAGCAATGAGCTCACTAAGTGATACCTCCTCCACCCATAGAATATAATGGATGTGTCCATATTTTGCTGTGGAAATCCCGATATATGTCGCGGATCAAAAAGTAAAATAGGTGGTTACATTGGCATTATGTAATAAAGATTACCTGAAAGTTGCATCAAGTTTCATGGAGTTGCGCATAAGAGATAGTTACTCCAATCGTAACAGACATACGGACGTACAGACAGACAGATGGATGGGCAGCTATACAGAAAGACGAAATTTGCCAAAATTTACTATTTTATTTTGTTGTTATCCCTCTATTCTTTCTCTACAGATATAAACAACTAAGGAAAAATAAGACAGGTTTTTCGTTGTATTATAATAGCTCTCTTTCTATGTACATAAATTTATATATCTGTTTTACAGAAAAAAATCAAATTGTGGTGTCCATATCTTTAAAAACTCTTCCTGGTTAGTGAAAAAAATATATAATGTGTCATTTTCAATATTAAACAATTATTATATAACTTATCAAACTTAAAGGAAACGGCACATTCACTGAAAGGAAGCACTGAAAGGAAGCAGAAATTTATGAATCATATTTAAATTAAAGATAACCTTTAGATGTTCATTTTTTCATCTTTTTTTTTTCAAAGAGGACATCATTAAAAGAATTCAATTATTTGAATATTTTCTGAATTACTCACTTCGTTTTATTTTTTTTATTAAGTTTTTCTGTTACATTATTTAAAATATTACAATTTGTAAAGTAAATGTACCTTAAGGTAAAGATCCATACCATGCTATAGAAATAACGGAACTACAGATTTTGTTGAAACTTTTCAGAATCTTAACTGAGTATTTGTCCTTTCCAAATCAGTGTAAATTTTGGGGTCAACCGGGCCTCCTTTCTGAAGGATTGTTACTAAAAATAGACATTGTCTCGTGAAATTACGGAAATGCAGTAATTAAGATATTTATGCTAGATTTCTAAATGTAAAAGCAAAAGAATTTTTTTAACATATGAGTTATAGAGAAAATATGTTTGTTTAACGGTTTAATTATTTTTTTAATCTGCTGATCCACCTAATATTACTTTCTAGGGCAAATTAAACATATTTAGCTCAAAATTATAAAGTTCATTGCTAGTAAAAATAAATTGCTGCTTGATATTCTAATTACAGATTTCTTTTTAAAATTAACACGTTATTTTCCAATAGTTTCTCCCTTATATGGCATAAAAATTAAGTGGGGCAGCGGGCATCAAACAAGAAAATTTCACATTTTTATACCAAATTTGCTGAAAAATGATTATTTGAAAAATCTTTTTAACATCTATACTTTTATGATTTGGGTGCAAAAATCGCTTTAAATATTTAAAACTATCGTTAATAGAACATTAATAAGTATGGTTTAAATAATAAGTTGAATATTTAATGCAGAGACGGCCAAGAATTCGTTTTCGCGATTCACAAGCATTATAGTAATCGGGTTCAATCTTCGGAATATTCTATATACCGTTAATGCGCATGTGTTACGTTATGACGGAAGTGAAAGAAGAAAACACTTTCAGTTTCAACATTGGTCGTTTGGATGCGATTTATTTGATTAAAAAATGAGAGAAGTGGCACATTTTACTACTTTTTGTGTCTTTGTAATACATTTTTGCTATTCATAGATACAAATAAGTGGTTTGTTTGCCACATCTTTTTAACGTCTGGTTTCTGATCACAGGAAAAGCTCGGGTCTGTCTAAGTAAGGTGCAGCGTTGTTTATCATGTTTTTATCCATGCACAAATAGATAAAATCTATGTAAGCGGAGATGGATATGTTCAGTGTTTCCACTTTGTAATGTCTGATCGAGGTTTTCCATACATAACTCAAATTCGTTTAATAAATTCTAAACACCAAGCTCCATAGTTGATGGCTAGAATTGCATTGAGAGCATCATAACTAAAACTATAACATTTAATTAGTATAAAATATGAACACATTCTACGGTGACATGTTTGAGTATATATAATCTTATATGCCCATCTGTCTAAACTCACTCAACATGCTCAGACAAACCCTTACTTTCATATA